CATAACAAGCATTAATTGAATTGAAATGCAAATATCTACTATTCCTAGCACTATTATAGGGATTATGGAACATACAAAAGAATCCATTTTCATTGATGTAATTAAGAATGTAGACTCTGGAGTCAGAAGCTTCCCTCTAATCCCATTTCCACCACTTACTAGCTGTGTGAATTTAGCCATTTATTTAACCTCTCTGTGCATCAGGTTCTTTATCTGTGAAGTGGGAGATAATGGTAACTGTCTAAAAAAGTGAAAAATAATTTAAATAATGCATGTGAAGCTTTTAGCACATACATATCTGGCACATGATACATGCTTAATGTTAATTTATTATTATGTGTAAATTAATAAAATTATTGATTGATAAGACTTATGCAAATTCAAATCATAATACTGAAAATACACCACTATGCAGAATGGTTCGAAGTGCATCCTGAAACAACACTTTGTTATCTTAACTTCAACAAAGCCCTGCTGAATGAATGAAAGAAGAAAAAAATAGCCACCATATAATCAGTGCTGATCTGACCATTCTAGAGTACTGGGTTCATTTCTGAACATCATACTTTAAGAGAAACAAAGTACTGTGCAACTAGAAGTAGACCAGTAGGATGCTCATAATTCTAGTGAATGGGAGACTCGTGGTAGAGAGAAATGAGAGCTGAAATCAAACATTTGAAGTGTTGTCATGTAGAAGAAAAGAGAGCTTTGCTTGATGATGCTTTATAGAGCATTCCTAGGGCCATGGAATAGAGTTATAGGCAGGTGATTTCAGCTGAACCTAGAAGCATTTGCTAAAAGTCAGCACTCACCATGCATGTAAGAAAGTAGTGAGTTTCCAATTAGTGGAGGTGCTCATTAGCTAAACAATCACTTAGCAAATATATTGTCAAGGGAACTTTTTCATTGGGCAGAGGATTGTTCTAGATGATCTTTGGGGTCCCTTGCAGGAGGTTCAAAATCTGGGCCTCCTAGGAAAGATTAGTGTTACTACATTAAAATTAGGAAGTTCTCAAAGCGGTGCTCTGAAAGGTGCCAAAATGCTCTCAAAATTAATACTCCACCAAATGTGTATGTGTGCATGCATGCACACATGCACACGCACGCACATACACACAGGCACACATACACAATCTTCCTCTTAACCAGCCCATTCCTGTGCCTCTGTACATGAAATTTCCAATTTAGTTACTCTTTGAATTGTACATTCAAGGTTCCAAATGTAATTTTCCTAGAAGAGATATTGCTTTAAGCCACTCAGCCATTATCATCAGCTTCTAACACAGTGCCTGGTACATATTCATTGAATGTGTTTATTATCTGCTGTTCACACTTGAGATTGTACAGGTATATCAGATTGAATATACTTGCCTTAAAGGGCTCTAAAGAGATGGACAAGTGGACAGATAAGCTTGGATAAGGGTGAGAGGTCACAAGGTTTCGCCATTCAAGTTCAATCCTCATGGCACAGAGTGTAAGCCATGCACAGATACCAGGTCCTTCCAAAGGCACTTTTTCTTTAGTTAAGTTGAAGCAAGATTTTTCTCCTCACAAATTCCCGAACTGGTCAGTGATTTGGGCTGGGATTTGGCAAGACCACTTTGCTCCTTGGCCTTCTGCCCAGTCCATTAATTTAGCTCTTTAGATCGCATCATTTAAGCTTACAAATGTCACAGATCCCATTAGACAAACTCCTCTGGCTAGCAGCACAGAAAAGAGAACATGATAAGCCCCCTGAGGTAGCCTGCTAGACCACTTATAATCTTTCATATTGGGAATGGAGTTCACTTGTAGAATGGTATGATGTGCTGTTTGGTTTCATTTTGTTCAGTTAAGAATACACCTTAAGGCCAATGCATAATTATGGGTAAGCCAACCTCATCTCTTGGCTTAGGTTAATGGCAATCTGCCAAACATAAAGGTAAAGGGTGATGGGAAGGAAACTTCCCAATAATAGATCTTCAAGAGATGCCAGAAATTCCATTATTAGTTACTTATTCAAAAAATAATGGCAGAGGAGAACTAACAGCAAGTATATGGAGAATGGATTGGCCTCAGAGCCAGCAGCAAAGCTAAGGCTAAAGTTGTAAGTGAGGGTCGAGTAGCTCCAGCTGCGGGGATTGGAAGAGAGCAGGGCACTACGCAAGGCATCAGACATCTATATAAGCCTACATGTAGACAGACACTGCAGGGAACCCATTTTACACCACTCAGTGCATAGTGTAGAAGTGAGCATAAGTACATAAAAGAGATTTCCAAGGAAGGCCTCTCTTCCCCTCCATCATATCTTCCCCGTCCTAGACACACATCTCTGAATTCCTAAGGTCACAGCAACTTCCCTAATCAAGGAATCCATATTAAGCTATCACTACCTGTTCAGCCATGTGATTTATTATTCTTTCCAGGAGTAATTTTAGATATGTAGCACCCTAAAGCGAAGGAGTGGCTCTAATAGTACAATCTCATGCAAACCTCTGGAGGATATATTTTTCTCTACAGGGTAATACTGTGAAGCTTCTCATAAAACAACCAGCTGGAAATGCAATAGACTAGATTCATTTCAAATGCAAAAGATGAAAAGTAAAATGACTTTGAATTGACCATATATCATTCAATTATACTTACTTCAAGTCTCAAATTACCGTGATTTTACTGTCTTCTCTCTTCACCACTATAACCCATGCATCTGGCACATAGTGAAAATTTAATGACTGGTACTGCTTGTTGCTTTCATTATTATTACTATTGGAAGAAGTAGTAGTAACAGTGTTGCCCCAGTACCTGGCACAGTGCCTAGAACACATGTATTCAAAATTATATATATTTTTTTTTATTGCACCAGCTCCTGACATAGTGCCTGGAACATAATAGGACATTGATTGAGTTAGTTTCCTTAGTTCTCACCTTTCAGTTTCCCACACAGCTGTGCCTTTCTGAAGTGGGCACAGATCTTCCTATAATAATAATGTTTAACCCAGCACCACCAGTGAGTGACACCATCTGAAAAGACATCCAGGCTTTCTTTCCATGGTAGACTCTTAAGTGGAAAGTTGGCAGCAAATGTTTAAGGTGATTTTTTTTCAAATGAGGAAAGTGAGGTTATGAGCTATTACCTTAGAATTTTATCTCACCTCTAATCCATGTATCTTATTATAGCCCAAAAAATATGCCCCACCACTGTCTTCCAACTAGGCCATGATCAATCTCACCACTTTTGTTCTTGCACTATGCAGTGCATGGCCTACACTCACATTTTTTCATTTAATTCATCCTCCAAGGATTAGATTAAGAGCTACATCCTCCATGAAACTTTCTCTCAGACCTACAACCTTCACTGTGCCCTTTCTGAAATCCCAAAGCTTCAAATAAGTACCATATAATTTAGTACTCCATTCTATGGCCTTGCCAACCCTCCTCAGCTAGATTGTATTTGCTCATTAAATATCCACTTATTAAGCACCCATCATTTTCCAGACCCTGTGTGAGTGTTGGAAAGACAGGAATCAAGGTATTCCTACCGTAGTGGCAGGAAGACAAACATGTAGTTGGGTGACATTAAAAAAAATTGTGATTCATGTGTCTGTAGATAACTCATAGGAAGATTGGCTAACTTTCTGAAGGTATTGGGGGAAGGCTTCACAGAGAAAGGGACCTGTGAGTGAGGTACTGAAGCCAAGAAGGATTTTGTTTAGTGGAGAGAGTAGAATGAAGCCATGTGCAAAGACAAAGTCATAGGACAGCAATTCAGAGAACTTAGCTCAATATGGCTAGAACTTAGGATGGGATGGAGAGAGATGAGAGAATATCATAGAAGGTTTACTCATTTGTTCATCATATATATATCAACATCCACGGAGTGCCAGGAACTTGGATAGGTATAGATGCTGGACAAACAGGACAGATGCAATCTCTGCACTTGAGCTTTCAGGCTAGTTGGATAGAGTGGATGATTACCCAGTAAGACAAAGAAATATGTAATTAAAAATTGTGATAAGCATTAAGAAGGAAGAGAAAATGGTACAATGGAGAGACGAATTTGAAGAAACTACTTTTATGGAGGGTAGTTACTGAGGATTGCTCTGAGGAAGTGACATGTCGTTCACCTATTATGAACTCGATAATAGGTTTTACTTTAAAATCAATTATGAAAATCTGGTTTTAGATGTGATACATATAAAATGGACCATTCACTTCTCAGATTTGAATCAGATTCTCAGTTCTGTCAGCATCTTAATTTGGAATGGTAGAGGAAAAACTCGTGAGCCAGAAGAGGCGGGTGTATGCTTATCTTTCGCAGTTGGCTTTGGCCTTTTGGAGTCAATACCCCTTCTCCAGTGAGCAGCAGCAAGAAACGAGGTTGTAGTTAGCACTAACATGGGATTGCAATCCAGAATCCACATCTGGGGCAGCTGCAAATGTAATCCTGAAAATCAGCATAAGCCCATAAGCCCAGAGCCCAAAGGAAATTGGCCAAAGATGAGCTCAACTTTGCATCACTGATCAGAAGTATTATCATGAGTATTTTCTGACACCAGAAGAGAAGGAAAGAACTAGCTTGTGCCATGTCTCAGGAGGTGTACCTTGAGCCAGTTGCTTTAATAATGTATTATCTTATTTCACTCTCACAATAGGAATTAGTCTTGAGCACAGGTTCTGGTATATAGTGAGCAGTCACTAATGATAGCTGCTATGAATATTATTAATATTGATAACCTTAATAATAATAAACTAAGCAGAGGGCTTGGCTTGAGTAACTTATCCCAGGTCACAAAACTGGTAGAGGCAGAATTTGAACCCAGGCCTTCCTGGTGCTAAAGCCTGGGCTTTTTCTGCTATACTCCTTTGAAAGAAGAAAAAGATTATGACATTAAAACAGTTTGAGATTTTCCAACCCCTCAACTAGGCTGCCTCATAACTGGCCATTTGAGACCTTCAGCCATCTAAGAATATCTTTGGTCTCCCTCTCTCTCCTCATTCAGGTTTCTATATTGCTATGAACCATGGCCCAATTGTACTACAAAAAGGTCAACTACTCACCATACAGAGACCGCATCCCCCTGCAAATCGTGAGAGCTGAGACAGAGCTCTCTGCAGAGGAGAAGGCCTTCCTCAATGCTGTAGAGAAAGGGGACTACGCTACTGTGAAGCAGGCCCTACAGGAGGCTGAGATCTACTACAATGTCAACATCAACTGCATGGATCCTCTGGGCCGGAGTGCCCTGCTCATTGCTATTGAGAATGAGAATCTGGAGATCATGGAGCTACTGCTAAACCACAGTGTGTATGTAGGCGATGCTTTGCTCTATGCCATCCGCAAAGAAGTAGTGAGTGCTGTGGAGCTTCTGCTCAGCTACAGGCGGCCCAGTGGAGAGAAGCAGGTAAGAGAAGTCCCTACATGTTGGGAAATAGCCAAGGACAATAGGGCACCAGGTTCAGAAGCCTTGAAACTGGAAAGGTTAAGTAGGCTAGAGTTGAGAAGCCCTGTCATAGCAACCCTCATCTCTCAGGAATAGCATCAGTGATCTCAGATGGTATCCTAGAACTACCCTGCATGACCCCATGCTAAGTTTTACTTATTTGCCTTTTCTTTATTTGTATTTGCATATGTATATTCAATACTTAATAATCCTAAAGTATGCTCTCTATTTCCAGAATATTCAAGCTTCTGCTACTCTCCCTACCCCCTGCTCTCTATCCTTATTTTTGGCCTCTACTCAAAGGTTACATTCTAGAAAAGGCGAAACCAAATACAGAATTGGGCTTTCTTCTTCTCACCATCCTCTCTCCTAAAGAAAGACAAGAGACCTTTAACATGAGTGCCACAATGCTGACATATTTTTCTAGTACCTATTATGTTACTGCATTCCACCCCTAGATGTTAGAGTTTCTGCTTCGGTGATTCCCCTATCCTCTGAAGCACCTAGGTTTCATACTCTGGAGTCATCTTTGAGTCCTTCTTCAACCTTGCCTCCAAGTCCAATCCCCAAACCCTGTGGTTTCTTCCTTCCTAATATCTTTTGCATACTTTCTCCTCTCTAGCCCAGCTCCCATCACTCTGCCTCTGGTTCTCATCATCTCTCTCCTAGATAAGTGGTTCTCAAAATGTGGTCCCTATGCCAGCAGCGTTAACATCATCAGGGGAACTTGTTAAAATGCAAATGAAAATTCTCAGGCCCTACCACCAACTGAATTAGAAACTGGGGGGTAGGGCCCAGCAAGCTGTGTCTTAACAAGCCCTTCAGGGGATTCTTATGCACACTCAGGTGTGAGAACAAATGTCCTAGACTAACGTGAAAATCTTCTAACTGAACTCTCTGCCTCTAACCTCT